GCACTGAAGCTAGATGTGCAGAGTTTAGCTCTCAATCCAAAATGTAGGACAGCATATTAGGGCCATTGTAGGTAAAGTAATTATGTTTCAAATAACCAGTAAGGCACCATGGTAAAGTGATGTCTAGAAGCCACAAATAAAGGGCTAACAATACAAAACATACAGCAATTCTTCGTGAGACAAGTCATTGGCAGGTGTTTGCTTAAACCTCCTGATTCCACTGTCTCTGAACAACATTGAACAACTGGAAAACAGCTGTATGTATCCGCACAATTTAAGACCCTTTATACCTGAATGTACTGAAAAGACTGCCACTTACACGTCGTTAAGTTCGGACACTCTCCCCAGAAACTCCTCGTAGGTCAGATAGCCGCTGTCTCGTACGAGTCCGGCGTGTTTCACCAGCTTCTCAGGCAGACGGTTCAGCGCCTGACCTGAGAGCTGCTGGCCCATCCTGGCAGCAGCAGAGAGAGAGAGGCAGCGGCAGGAGGCTGCAGCGCATCTAGGTCAGCAGAGCCTGGGGGGAAACACACAGGTAGAGTCTTTAGGTTTTGTTTGTAGGAATGCAGAACGCTTTATTTATTTTTCTGGGACATGTAGCCTTTGCTCATTCATTACTCTAATTGTGAGTCATTCATTTACAACATAGTATCATGAGTTTCTTTGTTCACTGACAGAGGATTATTATAAATCTGAAAGAAGCTACTAATGAATAGAAAGCATGAGATAAATTAATGTCTGAAAACATTTATAAAGTGAGAAGTAAAACATATTAGGATATAGGATTGCTTGCTTTAATTTGAACTTCAATTGCATAGTAAACTGGAAAATGATTGACAAATGCTCTGATGGAAGTTGTTCGGGTTAAAGCTGCATTGTAAACCTAAAAGTTAACAGCTTGCTTGTCTGAATAAAGACTAACTTCATACCCCTCCTAGTCCTCCATGGAAGACACTCACAAGTTACACACCAGAGAGAGTATTAGTATAAGATAGAGCTGTTCATTACATGTTACTTGTTAGACGCTTTCATCCAAAGCGACTTACATACTCAACACTGTGGCCAATCCTCACAGGAGCAATTTGGGGTGAAGTGTCTTGCCCAGGGACACAACGACATGCGGGTTTGAACCTGTTCCCCTGATCCCACGCACTAGCCCATTGCGCCACACGCCTCTTTTACACGTTTATCTTTTATGACTGTTATACTTTGGTTTCATGTTTCAGCGGCCATGTACACCCACCCAACAACACCTACTAGGGTTATTGCTCTCTAACCACAACTTCCTGGAAACAAAGCTGACGTCTGTAAACTTATTTTTGTTTGTTCAAAAAAGATTCCTTACTTGAGTAAAAGTACTGATACCACACAGTTAAAATACTCTATGTTCAGTAAAGGTACTGCATTGAGAATGGTAATTGAGTAAAAGTATTTAAGTAAGATTAGGAAAATGTACTTTAAGTATTTGGGGTAAAAGTTAAGAATATTTTTAAGCAAAATCAGCAAAAAATAACTGTGAAATATCTTTGAACAAAAATGGTTTTAATTCAAAAATAATTCTCTGTTTTAGTTACTTAAATATAATGTTGGATTGTTTATTCTATACCAAAGAATCATATTTTTAAGTTTTCCTTTAGTATTCTGTGTCAAAAGTAACTAGCAAACAAATCTGTCAAATAAATTAAGTGCCGTAAGAAAGTACAAAATGTCCTTCCAAAATGTAGTGGAGTACAAAAGTACAAAAAGAAATACAAAAAGAAAACACTCAGGTTAAGTACAAGTACCTCAAAGCCTCTTCTTTGATGTGTTCTCTACATGTCGGCTGTGTAGATACAGATTCATACACATAGACTAAACTGTTGACTAAGTGTGAACATGTTGTATTATGAAACTGAAAAAAAAACTAAGTTCAGAAGTATACTTAATTACACCTACTCGAGTAAATGTACTTGATTACTTTACACCACTGCAACTAACTAACATTTGACTCAACAAAATACAAGATACATCTAAAACAATGTAAGCTTTGGTTGATAGAAACTAAGATGAAAACAAAACGCGATAAACTGGTTCTATTTGCTAAATTAGCATTATATAATAACGTCCACATACACAGTAAGCTAACAAAATAAACAGCAAGCCAACAGTTAGATATGTGACTCGTCACTGTGGAGAACAGCAGCTTTATTCTTATTTTAAAACCCATTTAAAACCCATTTGATTTCAGATATAACACACATACGAGGCTTACTCTAAACATGACTTGCTAATGTAGTTAGCATCATTTCGCAGGTAAACAAACATTCAGTAAAGCCGTAAAACCTCTCTAAATAAAGATATGTACATTTGATCCTTCATCATGACATGGGAAAATGTGCAGTGTTTTCTTACCAAACACTCCACAACTTTGAGGAGGAGCAGCTGGATCTGTTAGCTCCTGCTTGTTGACAACAACACGGCGCCGTTTGACAACGTCTTCTTCTTCGTTGGTGTTTGTCGGCGCATTACCGTCACCTACTGGAGCGGGAGTGTAGAAGAAGAAATTAAGTAGGGAAAAATCAGTCATTTCAAGAGTTTTAAAAGTATTTTCTCAGGCAAAAACTCCACAAATTAACGATTGGTTTATTTTTATTTTTCCTGATATTTCCTCATATATTCATGGGCAGTATATGTTTATACCACGATTGTGTTGAAGTCCACAAATAAAGTTATACATATAAGTGTATAGGCTACGTATTATAAATCTTTACTGTTTTTGAGGACATTTTACTTTATTTATTTTTATTTTCTACAATAAAGTAGTACGTTTTCCCAGTAACTGTTTTAGTTAACATCTGGAATTTTCTTCGTGCAATGTGGAGATTCAGGCGCCTGTCTTCTTGGGAACCAGGAAGTACAGGGAATAGGGGGGGGGGGGTCGACACGGGGGGGGGGGGGGGGGGGGGGTCGACACAGAAAGGGCCGACTCTCTACTGAGGTCCTTGAACGCACCGCGGCGCGCTCCGCCATGATGCATTCACCCAAACAGTGAAATGCATCAAGCGGAGTTTTTTTTACCCTCGGCGTTATGTGTTTCCCTGCTACTCCGGCCATAACGTCCCTGTATCGGCATAGTGCGGTTTATCACTCACTCGCGCATGCCCACTAGCTGCCTCCTTTACTGGAGTTACCACCTGGGCAGCGAGTGCGGAATCTGTACGGTCAACATTATGTGGCAGTGTGGAAAGAAAAGACACTCAGACTGGGATACAAGCAATTTCTTTTATTCACATGAAAAGACGATTGTGCCAACACAGTGGGGTCAAATAGGGAGGAAGCGGGATTCCAGAAAGCACCCATCTCCGCCGGTTAAGTACCTCAAAACCTCTTATTTGATGTGTTCTCTCTACATGTCGGCTGTGTAGATACAGATTAATACAAATAGACTAAACTGTCGACTAAGGGTGAACATGTTGTATTATGAAACTGAAAGAATAACTAAGTTCAGAAGTATACTTAATTACACCTACTCGAGTAAATGTACACCACTGCAACTAACTAACATTTGACTCAACACAACTAAGATACATCTAAAACAATGTAAGCTTTGGTTGATAGAAACTAAGATGAAAACAACGCATTACGCGATAAACTGGTTCTATTAGCTAAATTAGCATTACATAATAATGGGACGCTTCCTCCCGTCAGCTCCTGGAGGACGGTGCACCCCACCCAGCACCCCTTCGCTGAGGCGGAGCCGGAGCCCGTCGGGTTCGGCCAGCCTGTCCCCGTGAGTGCCGGTACTGGGCCGGTTCTCCGGGACGGACCGCGGAGGCAGAGGGCGCAACGGGAGCTCTGTACCGGCGCCTCTCTCTCTCTCTCTCCGCCTTACCACCACCGGGCGCTCTCTCCCTTGAGGAGGGACCTGAGGGCGAGCCAGCGACAGCATGCGGCTGAGCTGCGCCCTCTCTTCCTCCAGGCGATTGAAATGCTGGGTGACCGAGGATATCGACCCGAAGAGCCCTTCCGTGGAAACGGGGGCCCCAAGGAGATCATCTCGGTCCTTCCTGGCCAGTGCGGTCAGACCTAGCCACACTTGACGCGACGCCACGGTGGCCAGGGACATCACACGGCCGGCTGCGGTAGCCATACCGAGGACCAGATTATTAATCTGGCCCACGCAGCGGTCCGAGTAATCACTCCCGTCCTCAGGCGGGGGGGCGGAGATGTCCTGCTGAGGGGTAATCAGCGACAATACCAACACGCCAAGATTACTGGCCGCAGCCGCCATCTGCGCTCCGAGCCTGAACATCTTATCCAGATGCTCGAGCATTTCACGGTCATGCAGCAGCGGGGGCAGGGCCCTTCTCCCCTCTGCCCACCCGGCTGCCTGCGGAAGCAGATGGGCCGCCAGGCTTTCATCCAGGGGGGGCACACCGGGACACCCCGTGTCCGAGTGGCCCTGTACCCTGAGGATTCCAGCCCATGTTGCTACTGTAGGAGTAGAATACCTCTGCTACGCGCCGTTCGTTGGATGAGGCTGGATCTCTATTAAATTAAGAAAGGAATTGAAAACACCGGAATCAAAAGTTACAACAATTATCTGAGTTTACTGGTAGGAAATCAAACACATATACAAGTTATACAGAGTACTCCGGGTACCCCGGGCTTTTTAGATTCGTGATGCGATGCGGCCAAAATGTATCGGGATCAAACCACCCATCGAACGAGAAGAGAGTGCCTTCTGTCAATGGTGCGATGCGGATACAGATTAACGGAGTCAACCAACTCACCAAACCCAAAAAGCATTTTTACACACACAAACAACAGTATTTCTATCTACTTTTGGGGCGGAGATTTGTCGATTCTTCCTTCCCACTTTTCTCCCAAGCGAACCAGAGAACGCCTGGGGAGGAGCTGTTTAGACTGCTAACCTCCCCCAAGTGTCCTGATTGGCTGGATTCGCTTCTGGCCGAGGTCAATCAGAGTTTCGAACAGAGTGAGACCCCAAACCACACTAGGTCAAAAGTCAATGTTTATCTTTACCTTATCTTACTGCTACATTCCTTCCCAGGGGATCTTTTCCTATTTTACGATGTCTTTAACGACTTAGAAACAGCATCTGGCTCTTAGTGGTGATAAGGATCAATGTTGGTGTATGAAACACAGAATCTCTGGGCCAGTGAATTTAAAAGTGAGAATAACATTCTTTTTCTAAGTGATTATACATACAACAGTTCAAACAATACATGTTTACTTCAATACAGTGTAGAATCATATCTTCTTACTTCAATCCCTCTTTTGATCTCACCTCACGAGATCAACATATAGCATTTGAAACATTACCACTGTCAATTTTCTTCTTACTGTGTCTGTTCCAACATTTATATAAACCCATCAGAAGTTGGGATATAGAGCACTTTAAACCTTTAGGAACAGTCCACAACAACAACTTATTATGACAGTGGAGGGAGAATAAAATATGTCTAAAAAGCAAAGTCCTTGTCAGCTGAGTCATCTTTACTCTTCCCTCAATGGTGGAACTGATGAGTCTAACACACAGTGAGCAGATACAAGGCACACAACAACAACCACATGTCACCAAAATGGCAATAAAAGTAGCCACAGAAATCAGAAAAGACATTATCATACTTTTCCCTCTTTTGGTAACACATAGTTCTGTAGAATAAAAAATACAAATCCCTTACATTATGGGATATAAAAATAAAGTTGAAAGTTCCTCAAAAAAAAATGGATTGTTCAGACAAAGTTCCACACCGGCTATATCAACCTGTTTCAGCGGGAAATGGAGTTCCCTGTGCCGTCTTGGTTTGCCATGTCTTCGTCCCCCCAGCCCGCTGACGGCGGCTTCTGGGGTGCCTGCTAGAGAGATGTGGCCTGATTGTCCTCCCCCGGCCCGCTGATGGCGGCTTCCGGGTCGATGCTGGAGAGATGTCCTCCCGATCCTCCTCCTCCGGACTGCTGATGGCGCCTCCTGGGTCGACTGTTGGAGAGATGTCCTGATCCTCCTCCTCCGGTCTGCTGATGGCGCCTCCTGGGTCGACTGCCTTGACGAGAGCCAGATCTGTTCTGATGTCGTCCAGGGTCCTCGCGACGAGGGCCAACTCTGTCCTGATGTCGTCCAGGGTCCTCGCAGGTGTTTTTCCCGACCGCACACTGGCTCCAGTGGTACCAGTTGTCTCCCTTTCCATCTAGGCGAACGGCATGGGAGGTCCCCTCCAACCAGACGTAATCTGCTGTGTTGGCCTTGTGTTTCTCGGGTCCCCCTTTTGACGTCAGCAGCCTGTGTGGAGAAGTCTCATACCAAGCCCTTAAGTTGCTGGAAATATGGTTTTGAAATCATCTCAAAAAATAAAAATCAAAAATCAAAATCAAAAATAAAAATAAAAATCAAAAATAGAACAAAAATAAAAATAAAACAAAAAAAGGAACAAACTAACAAAACAAAAAATAACCAAAGCTAGATTATTTTAACTGTATCAATTTCTCTTAAAAGCAACAAATAAAACAAAACAAAAAATACCATAACTAGTATTTTTAAATTGATAAATTTCTCCTAAAAACGTAATAATCTCACATACATATTGTCTGATGTATATCCCATCCTTTTCCCCCTTTTACTGAAATAGAACGCCGTTAACGGTGTTCCTATTTTCAGAAATATCGAGCCTTATACATCAGTTATTTAATATCAGCTATATATTTATTATTACTATTACTTATACATCAGGCATTAAATGTCAGCCTTCTTCCACGATTGACCTCGTCTATATTATCTGACTTATATTGATACGTGTCTGTTTGTATTTATTTAATATACTGGGCAATTATTGATAACTTTTTGAATCTCCCTCTTTTCTTAACAACTTGAGGTATGGCTATTTTGAAATCTGACTTGGTTAAGAGATGATTTGTTTATTGGTGAAAGGAACACTCTTCCCCTCAATGGTGTGGGGGTGGATATTCAGGGAGAGTTCCTTACAATCTCCAGATCTTCCTCTCAGTGTAGAGGCCATAAAACCTTTTAATGGGCTCTGTGGTCTGTTCAGATTTAGATTTTCTTCCTCTCCAGAGGTCACGCCTGTCTTTGACCCTGTATGCTGCTTTGAGTCAGCAGCACCTCACGACAGAGAAAGTGTGAGATCTCTTCCCAAAAGTGTAAGTTCCCTTTTGAGCAACATAGCTCCACATTTAACACTCCCTGACTTGTTTGTAAAGCGTTCTTTAAGGCCTGAATCGAGTCTTCCGTTATGTAACGGAAAATCCCATTTCCAAAAAGGGTCAGTTCAATAGCCCTTATCATATTACCGCTCTGTGCTTGCATGCTAGGACCTATTGTCTTTGCCAGAGCTGCTGCTAGTCTTTCTACATGTATTAGCTCCATATTAGCAGGGTTCACTAACATGGTTGGTTGATCCAGTTTAAGATTTTTCAATATCTTCCATTACTATTTCCAACATTCCTTATCCCTGAATATCAGGTCTAACAATGTGTTTTCCT